GTTTTGTTTGTATTTTTTTAATAAGCTGAAATGAAAAATCGAATTATCAACTGCTGGTAATGAATTCCGACTCCTAAAAACCTTTTGAATATTTCAAAAGCAAATCAAACAGAATCATTCACATGACTTCTTACAACTTAACTTTAGCCTGTATGTTTTCCTTCTACATTTGCTGTACTGTAATTCCCATTACCTTTAGACAGGACTGTGAATGTTACAGTCTGATATCTTTGGAAAGAGCCAAGATGGGGAAGATTTAACCATTAGATACTGTTTCTTTATAGATTCATCTGTAGGAGATGACCAGGCTAAGCCTGAGGGAGGGGTCAAATGTGTCATCAGTCACTAGTCCCTTTGCACTCACAGAGGACTAAGCCCAACCCATCTTGAACTCTTATCTACCGCCAAATTGTTTTGACCATTAGTAGTTCAGATTCTTGTAGAGAATTTAAGCTTGCAATAAATCTTTGTACCCATTGAACTGCCTGGATCTTCTGATTTCCCTAGCTTTTGACACATCAGTTGTATAAATTGATCCAGAGAAGAAAGAATCTATATGCTACTTTTAATTCCATCAAAGAGGTGATGGGATGGCTTTCTCCTGACAATTTGTGATTTGATCACATACTTGAAATTTATGAATATTGTAGCAAACCATTCATAGCTAAGCCTCTCTGAGAAAGGGTTAAACAATGGTCCCCCTTTTGCCCACTTCCCACTGCTGGCTGTTTTCAATGTCATAGGAATTGAACAAGGCAATCCACTTATGTTCTTGAACGTGACTCCTAAACAAGAACTAATTCCTCCTTTGTTCTCAATTATTGTTCAATCCTCCCTCTTCCTACCATACATTATTTGAAAAGGGGGGGGAGGCAAATGGTTCCAGCTTCTTCATCCCCATCTTCTGAGCTTTCAGCCATAAATACAAAAATCAGATGTAGCTGATATGATGAGTTTTTATCACAGAGATCTAGTATTGCTCTCCTAACTTGGGGATAATTAAGGAGGAAAAACCTGGATGAGATGGTCCATGTCTCCATGGGATCAGTCTTTACACAAGGACATAGAGGGTTTGCAACAGGGAAATGAATTTAGAGTAGCCAAGTATTTACGATGAGCAGGTCTTCATTTGATAGTTTCCTCTTTCTGAAGGGTTTCGTGGCAGATGATAAGGATGTACAAGTTGAAGCCATATGTCCCAGACCTATCTAACAGCAGGATGAGCAGGCATCTGTCATAGCATTCCCCACAATAGTGAATGTATGGTGCCTCTGTTTAAGTTAGATTTTAAAATAGGTATCTATATATGTATACATTAGCATACAATATACAATTTATACTTTACATCCACTCTTTTTGGAGTGATACATTTCTTTTCTCTTTTTTTTAGCGATGGGGTCAGAACAGATTATACAGAATTTTAATGGGCAATAATTTCAGCGTTTGAGGGCCTAAGCTTATGTAATAGATCTCTCTGATATATTGGTGAGATCTGAAGGTGAAGCATATTATTCCAAGCAAGCAAAATAATCATAAAGTAGCTGACACTTAACTTGCTATATTTTTGTCCGTATGCCTAAAAAACTGGCAATATTTAACATGAAAACTGAAGCGATTAGATCTTATGGTAGATTTCTTGTGTGTACAGGAGCGGGTGGCTTCTTCATAATGTTGGCTTTTTGTATACCTACCATTTGATAGTTTTATGTTTAGATGATCAGCCCTAGTCTCTAGGGAAAGAGTTTTATGCAGTGTACAGATGAAATGTTTTTTCCCCATAAAACCATTGTGTTGATACTTAGTAATAAAAAAATCATACATGTGAGCCCGCACCATTTCATATTTTTAGTAGAATGCAATCAATGCAGTCTATGAGAAAAAGGGGGAATACTATTTTCTTCAGAATCCCACTTACTCTTGTTCTATTTCTTCTTCTACACAGCTTTCTGAGGATGTTGTTATTATTTTCTTTCATCTATTACTCAGATAATACTTGGTTTCATTGGGCTCCTTTTTGTTTAGGGTCCCTCCCCAGCGGGGGTGGGTTTCTCGCCCCGTTCCAACTGGTTCGGTTGGAACGGGGCG